TTAGAAGGCCAGGGTAAGCCCAGTGAGCTCGCTCCTCTGCTCTCTCCATGTGATGTCATCTGCCCTGTTATGCTGCAGCATGAGGCGTCGCCTGGTGCAGCCACTGGACCCTGAGCTTCCCTGCCTCCTCACCTGTGAGCAGAACAAGCTCCTTTTCTTTCTAACGTTTCCAGCCTCGCACGTTGTATTACAGCAACACAAACTGACTAAATCCTTAGGAAATCTACTATTTAGTTACCTTCCATTATCACCAACGATTTAGTGTTGAGATTCCTTGAGTGGGGTGGGCCTGAAAATACTCAAATGAGAATTTCTACACTGACCACTCCTTTGTAGCTTCTGAAACAATCAATGGTCACTTTGGATGGCTTGGGAGCCAACTAAAAACCCAGTGCCACAGGCACAGCCATTATTTCATGTTATGATTAATAATAGGTCAGTCGGTATGTATCTTGTGCCCAAAGAAAATTGTACATCTTGACCTTCAGAGGAAAATAATCCTGTACTTTTAGGGGGTAGCTTTAATATCATGACTACCATCGGGTCCCTCCATTGGCCTCACCCAATTTCTGATACAATCAGTGGCAACTTCCTTCATTGGTAAAGATGCTTTGGGACCAATGACCTCGCCAGAACGATTAATGATTCCAAATCGGAGAATGGGGACCAATTCAGGCACTGGGCAGAATTAGCATATTCCCTTTTCAGAAGCCAAACAGTCAGTTTTTACTACAGTTCCTTGACCAAAACTTGTAAGCAATTATTTCACATCCCGTTATTTATTGCACTGACCTCTTAATGCTGAGCCTGCTTCTAATCTGGGGAGAAGCTGCCAGCTCCGGGACTTCCTAGGCTCTCCGCCTTTGATGTCAGATGGCTTGTCCTTGGTGATCATCTAATTATCCCACTGGAGGAGATGCTCTGTTTTCAAAGGGGATTATTCATGACCTAAATCGGATATCCCAAAGCTGCCAAGTAATAAAAGAGATGGTTGAGACACTAAATCATCGCGCTCACTGCTAACGAAAAGCCAGTAGTGCGGGTGCTGTTTTGGTGACCACACTCCTGCATTCTTCTGGTAGAACTGCATGATTGAAGGGGTGGGCTCCGGTTTGCAATTCAACCAAAATGGCTTTTATGGCCCTGAGAGAGCTGGAAACATGCTCCATGTTTAACTCTCTTTTCACAACAAATTTAGCTTCATCCTTTTTTCACTGAAGTCATTAGAAAACTTCATTTTTTTTCAGACTTCAAAGCCACAATGAGGCTCAGTATATCTTTTAAGATGAAATTTGTTCGAAGACAATCCCCCATTGTTGATCTATTACCTTTCTATCCAGTCTCAGTGCTCCCTGTAATAAAATCATAAATAACTTTTCACAGGTGAGTAAATAAACACATTTTCAGCCTGTGCTTTGGTAAGCTGGAGACTTCCCACTGTGGGAGCATTTCTCATCCCTTTTTGGAATTCAGCGTGGAAGATAACTCTTGATGTTAGGGACCAGTTAATGCTTCACTCTCCAACCTCCGACCACCCACCTAAAGTCCATGGAAGATGAGAACAAGAGAAAAATTAACCAAGAAACACAAAGAAGGCCCAGAAGTAAGTAGCTGAGCCCTAACTTTGACACAAGAAAAACAATGAAGTAGGAATATTTACACTGTGACTTGTCCACAACTTATCCTGGCAGCCACACTAGACATCCTCTGAGTTTCTGATGCTGTCCCTTTAGCCAAGGCAGACAGGAGTCCTGCTTGTTCTGGAAGAAGGGAGATTTTCATACTTGCCATAATGAATGTGTTTCTGGGCTTTATTTATTTTGTCTTTTTTTTTTTTTTTTTCATTTGTGACCTCAGAACCTAGGACACCTTTCGAAGTGAGCTATGCTTTTCCTTCTCCCCTGGAGGGTAGAAACAATCACGATTTCAGGACACGGGGAGTCCTTGCAAGCCCAGGATGATGACTCAATTACCTCCCAAGCACTCCTTAGGCAAAAGGCACTTATGTTCAAAAACAGTAACTCCAGGCCTCTGACACAGCTGACATAACTATCATGCAGCAAACTATAGCATAAAATCAACGGGGCCTGCAGCACTAGGTAAATATTAGACACAGGTCCATCAGGCATTGTGCAGTTTTCCCCATTACAAATATCTTCTATTGTTTTGTGCCTTTATTCCTAAAATATGGGATAATTCTTTGTTGTATTTCAAAACAACCTAAACACCCAAATAAACAACTTCAGGTTTATCTTTAGTGAAAGTTTCCCTCTCTTCAGTGCTCATTTCCTTCACTTTTTTAAAGAAAACTTTTATTTAATAAATATAAATGTCCAAAGTACAACTTTTAGATTACAGTGGCTTTTCCCCCTATAACCACCCTCCCACCCACAACCATCCCATCTCCTACTTTCTCTCCCATTCTTCATTAGGCGTCATTTTTAATTATCTTTATATACAGAAGATCAATTTAGTATATACTAAGTAAAGATTTCAACAGATTGCACCCACACAGATACACAAAGTATAATGTACTGTTTGAGTACTAGTTATACCGTTAATTCACATAGTACAACACATTAAGGACAGAGATCTTACATGGGGAGTAAGGGCACAGTGACTCCTGTTGTTGATCTAACAACTGACACACTTATTTATGACGTCAGTAATCACCCTAGGCTCTGTCATGAGCTGCCAAGGCAATGGAAGCCTCTTTGAGTTCATGAACTCTGATCTTCTTTAGACAAGGCCATAGTCAAAGTGGAAGTTCTCTCATCCCTTCAGAGAAAGGTACCTCCTTCTTTGATGGCCTGTTCTTTCTGCTGGGATCTCACTCTCAGAGATCTTTCATTTAGGTCATTTTTTATTTTTATTTTTATTTTTATTTTTATTTTTATTTTTTTTGCCACAGTGTCTTGGCTTTCCATGCCTGTGAAACTTTCATGGGCTTTTTAGCCAGAGCCAAATGCCTTAAGGGCTGATTCTGAGGCCAGAGTGCTGTTTAGGACATCTGCCATTCTATGAGTTTGCTGTGTATCCCGCTTCCCATGTTGGATCATTCTCTCCTTTATAATTCTATCAGTTATTATTAGCAGAGACTTGTCTTGTTTATATGATCCCTTTGACACTTAATCCTATCTTTATGATCAATTATGAACTGAAACTGATCACTTTGACTTGTGAGATGGCATTGGTACATGCCACCTTGATGGGATTGAATTGGAATCCCCTGGTACGTTTCTAGCTCTACTATTAGGGGTAACCTCCTTGTGGCTTTGATTTGCATTTCTCTGACAGCTAGAGATCCTGAACATTTTTTCATGTGTCTGTTGGCCATTTGGATTTCATCTTTTGAAAAAAGTCTATTTAGGTCCTTGGCCCATCTCTTAACTGGGTTGTTTTGTTCTTATGAGTTTCTTGATCTCTTTGTAGATTCTGGTTATTAATCCTTTATTGATTGCATACTTTGCAAATGACTTCTCCCATTCTGTTGGTTGCCTCTTCACTGTCCTGTTTCTTTTTGCAGTACAGAAACTTCTCAATTTGATGCAATCCCATTTGTTCATTTTGGCTTTGACTGTCTGTGCCTCTGGGGTCTTTTCCAAGAAGTCTTTGCCTGTGTCTGTATCTTGCAGAGTTTCTGCTATGTTCTCTAATAGTTTGATGGTGTCAGGTAGTAGATTTAGATCTTTAATCCACGTTGAGTGGATTTTTGGGTAAGGTGTAAGGTAAAGGTCTTGCTTCACACTTCTGCATGTGGAAATCCAGTTTTCCCAGCACCATTTGTTGAATAGACAGTCCTTGCTCCAGGAATTGGTTTTAGATCCTTGATCAAATATAAGTTGGCTGTAGATGTTTGGATTGATTTGTGGTGTTTCTATTCTGTTCTATTGGTCTATCCATCTGTTTCTGTGCCAGTACCAGGCTGTTCTGATTATAACTGCCCTGTAGTAGGTCTTTAAATCTGGTATTGTGATGCCTCTGGCTTTGTTTTTGTTGTAAAAGATTGCTTTAGCTATTCAAGGTCTCCTGTTCCTCCATATGAATTTCAGCATCATTTTTTCCAGATCTGAAAGAACGTCTTTGGTATTTTGATAGGTATCACATTGAATCTATAAATTGCTTTTGGGAGAAGGGACAATTTGATGGTACTGATTCTTGCAATCCATGAGCACGGAAGATTTTTCCATTTTTTGGTATCCTCTTCTATTTCTTTAAGTTTTTGTAATTCTCATCATAGAGATCTTTGACATCCTTTGTTAATTTTATTCCAAGGTATTTGATTGTTTATGTAGCTATTGTGAATGGGATTGATCTTAGAAGTTCTTTCTCAGCTGTGGCATTGGCTTTGAATATAAAGGCTGTTGATTTTTGTGCAATGATTTTATATCCTGCTACTTTGCCAAACTCTTCTATGAGTTCCAGTAGTCTCTTAGTGGAGTCCTTTGGATCTCCTAAATAAAGAATCATATCATCTGCAAAGAGGGATAGTTTGACTTCTTCCTTTCCAATTTGATTCCTTCACTTTTAAACTTGTTTTGTCTCACTTTTCAATGCCAGCACCAACCCCAACTGTTTTTAAGAACTTGGATTTTCTGGTTTAACATTTTAAATATCTCATTGCTTTTCTAGCTGATTATAATCTCTTTTATGTCACTATACAGTCATTATCTGAATTCTAAAGGGAAAATCACTTTCTACTTTTTTAATTCCAGTTTTGGAAAATCCTCTTTATACTCTAATAACAAGTAGATAATTATCAATTCTTGGCCAAGAAAAAGAGAGAGAGAAAGGAGAAGGGGTAGAGGCAAAGTCAAGACTGCATTATTTAAAGAAAACCATCTTCAACCCCATGACATTCTTTTTCTAGCTTTTTAAGTTGTGGTGAAATTAATTTGTTCCCACTCAGTCAGATGTTCCCTACCAGAAATTGTCACACAAGCTTTGATGATGGAACCACCGCCTTGGCCAAGAGTGGGCATGGCTCCAAAAACTCTTGACTGAGCTCACAGGAATGAAGAGGAAGACATAAATGCATCTCCTGGGCGTTAACACAAGGCCCTGACATCTTATCACCTGCCATAGTGTGTGAGAGCTCAGAGTAAGTCAGTTAAGCTTTCCTCTCCTTTTCTGAAAATATTTTATAGCAGTAATAATGACAATGGCTGTCATTTCAGCTTGATGTAGTAACAACAGCTTTGGAGCCAAAAGACTTGGTTTTGAATTGCCATCTCAGCATTACCTGGCCTGAGACAAGTGACTGAGCCTCCCTAAGCCTCGGTGTCCGAGTCTATGAGATGAGAGATGATAAAGCCTACTCATTGTGAGAATACAACCAGGTATGTAGAGTGTCCATTCTACTGCCTTCCATGTAAGTTCAAATACATTAGCTTTCCTATTTTAAAATCCATTTAAAAAAACCACAATTGATACCTCATCTGCTTCAAAAAGTGTTTCAAGATATAGACCCCATGACTTAACATAATTATTTAAATGTTTGCAAGCTAGAACTTTGAGGATCATTGATTTTAAAGTTATGCTAAGTTTTCATGAGCTACAGGAATGAGTAACACTTTGCCTTGACTTTATCAGGGAGACAAAGTACCTCAGCCATGCTTGTACGCACAGACTCTGGAGAAGGCAGCTCTCGGGAAGAACTTCGAGTGCTCCACAAGATTTATATAAACGATTTGAAAACTCCTACTCATTGAAACTTTAGAGATGAGGAGTTGGAATCCCAGAGAGTTTATGACTTATCCAATTGGTAGTATTACTGAGAACTAAAAGCTGGTTTGCTTCCCAGTTGAATGCTCTTTCAATTATACCATGTGGAGTTATTTTGAGTCAACCAAAATATGTGCAGGAACATCAAAACAATGTTCTTTCTCTCTCTGACCTCAGTAATAACTGGTTAAAGATTTAGAATCTTAGGAGCAAGTCCTCAAAGCAGCTGCAGGTCCTCAGTGTCCCAGAATAGATATTTTTAAGTTCTCCAAATAAAAATCCTGACAAAGACCTCTTTTTTTGCAGTAACGGAAAAAGCTTTCAGCTCTCCTGCCATAAAGCGGCTACTGAGAATTCAACTGAGATGCTCTCCTGTGAAGCAGCAGGACAGAGGGGACAGAGTGGACGTCCTCCAGGATGGACATCAGAAACACCTGCTCCTACCTCTGACTCAAGCTTGCCTTTTATGTAGCAGGAGGTAAGTTTTAGATAGCTCTGAACTTGAAGTTATTTTTGACACTGACTTTTCTTGCTCCATTTTTGGTCTAATAGCAAACCATGCAGTCTTCAAAATAAATGTATCCAGACTCCAACTACAGCTTACTGCATCCACAGCTGCCACCTTCATCCCAGCTGCAGAAGCCTCCTTCTGGGTCTACCTGCCTCTGTCTTTGCAACCTGAACTTGTATATAAAACTCCCACACCCAAGTGAAAAAGCATTCTATGAAAAAGCATTTTCATTAATTTTACTAGAAAAAGCTTGGTATCCAAGCAATTTTTTACAGATAGGAAAATATTCTAAATTAAACAACAAACTTATTTTTCAGGGGCCAGTATTGTGGTGGAGTGAATGAAGCCACCACCTAAGACACCAGCAGCCCACGTGGGTGCTGGTTCAAGTCCTGGCTGCTCCACTTGCAATCCAGCTCCCTGCTAGTCGCCTGGAAAAAGCAGAAGATGGCCAAGTATGTGGGCCCCTATTATCCACACGGGAGACCCAGATGAGGCTTCTGGTTCCTGGCTTTGGCTTGGCCCAGGTCTGGCTGTAGCAGCCATCTGAGGAGTGAACCAACGGACAGAAGGCTGATCTCTCTCTATGTCTCTCCATCTCTGTAACTCTTTCAAATAAAATAAATAAATCTTTAAAAATATATTACAATTGTCATTAAACTGCATGAGCAATTACCACTGAGTTGAAAATAATGGAGTTTGTGCATAAAATGGGACAGTTTGAAGGTTCACTGTAGTCATACAAAGAAGAGAGGAGCTGGCAGATGCTGGTTGGGAATGTGTTGGAGGCAGTCATCTGTGGTAAGGTATAGTCTGCCCTCTGAACAATTCCCCTATTGCTGTTTTCTACCATTCAGAGAACCATGACCCTTAAAGTGTAAACTTACAGAGCCAATTTCAGTCCAAGTAGTATCTAAAGATGAGACCTCTGGGAAAAAGATGAAAACTTATCGATCATGTAAGACTTAAAAGTCAGGAAAGACCTCAGCTTGCCATCCCCCTTTATCAGGTATACACAGGCAAATAAAATACTTGTAATTTTTCAAAACATGGCCCTAGTTCAGTTTGTTCTATCTGATTTTTGGTGACTAAGAAATGTTAGGGGAAAACAGTGTTTCTTTCCCCAAAAGTTACAATGTCACAGTATCATTTATAATGCTTATTTACTTTGTGTTTTAGAGTAGAAAGATCACTGTACCTTTTTTTTTTTTTTTTTTTTTTTTTTTGAGAAAAAGGAGTTGTCTGGAACGGAGTAACTTTTCCAGAGTCCTTGTGGAAAAGCTGTTAACTAAATGAGCGTTATGGGAGGTAAATCTAAGTTCACTGGTCTGTTCACACAGGTTCCTAAGTCTTGGTGTGGCAGCACAGGGCACCTGCTAGTTTGTGTGTAACCCAGGAGCAGCCCTTAGGGCAGACCATCCACCTAAGTTTTTTCACAACTGACGTACACAGTAAGCATTTCTGAGTACCCGTCACACACCTGGTTCACTGATAAAACAGGAGAGCTGAGAAGATCAGGGCTCTCCTCACCTTCACACTGTGCTGAGGTCAGCGGGGAGGCAGCCAGGTAAATGCATGAACACTCTTAACACTACGAATGTCCCTCAGCATTCTGAGTTAGATGCAAGGGAGACCCTAGCTCTGCCTGGGATGAGGTGGAGTTGTCAAGGGGTGATACAGAAAACAGCCAAGATGAACCTTGAAAGAGCAGATGCATGAAGGTAGAGGCGAGGTTGTGGACACAGACAGAACAGTACAGTCAGCCAATCATATCCATGGATTCAGCCAACCACACATCAAAAACACTTGAGGGGGAAAAAATCGCACCTGTACTGGATAGGTACAGACTTTTTTCTTACTGTAATTCTCCAAACAATACAGTACAGCAACTATTAGCATAGCATTTACATCATACTACATACTGTAACTGAACCAGAGATGATCTACAATATATACAAAAATGGAGACGGGCTTATATGCAAATAAACTGATAGTCATTTTGCACAGGGGACATGAGCATTCATGGGTTTTGGTATCTATCCTGAGGGGGCGGCAGTCCTGGATCAAATCCACATGGATTCCCAGGAGCCACAGTATTTACTGAGGCAGAGAGTAAATAAAAGAACATTTTCTTCTTCAAGTAGCAGGGCCTCTGTGTCTAAGCTGTCATCAACATCAACGTTTTGCTTCACCTCAGGGCAATGGCGTCTTCTGAGAGTTTTAATAAGGGGAAAAATGAACACTGTCTCTATATACACAGATACTGTATAAATATTGTCAGCACTGGGGTTACCTACTGGCACAAGACATTCACCCCAAACTTGAAAGCATAAAGCAACCATCGTTTTTCTATGCTTATGAATTCTATGGATCAGGAACTTGAATTAGAACATCAGGGAGAACTTCATTCAGCTTTACAGCATCTGGGCACTTGAAATGGGGGAGTGGACAGCTAGTGGTAGGGCCGGAATGGCTAAACGTGAATTCAGTAGCCGGGAGCTACAATCCTGTGTGGCACCCAGGCTGAGATCACTGGAAAGCTAGTTCAGTCAGGGCACATACTTACGAAAGCTCCAGGGTTTGCAGCCTCTCCTAGAAATAGAGGCTGGGTCTCAGAGGAAATGTCATGGGAAATATCCAAGGACAAGAGTTCCCCCCCCAAAAAAAACACACAGAAGCTAATGGTCTTTCCTGAACTGACCTCAGAAGTCAAAGAACGTCTCTTTCCCCATAGTCTATTGGTTGGCAGTCACGAACCCCATCCCTCTAAAGCAGGAGTGTCTAAGGATGTGTAGCCAGTTATTTAAGTCTGTGTGTTTGCCAAATTGTAAACTGCTTATCACTTGAAACTATATTGTCTCCACAGGTTATAAAGGAAGAAATTTCTTTCTTATATGACTGTCAGATAAAATATTCCTTCTTTCCAGCAATTAGTATATTTTTACTTTATGGCCACTGAACTCTGAAAACTGACTATATTTTTCCCTAAAGTTTGGTGATCTTTGAAAAGTCATTTCACTTATTATTTAAAATCTTCTAAAGCACAGAGCATAAAATCAAGTAAAATCTGTTTGCAGGTGATATAGATTTGCATTTCAAGTGTGGTGGAAGGAAGGGCAGGACATGCCAATGCGAAGGTGGAAAGGACAGATCAGAGGTCAGATGTGTCCTGCTAAGGTCAGGGGCATTCATTCAGTCTTTCCATCCATCCTGTGGTGCAGGCACTAACATTTCGATTTTACAGAGCAAATAATCAGGATAAATTTCATTTTGTCTTAAAGTTCAGGAGCAGCATGATGGATTATAACTACATAATCTTTATCTGTCTCTCATTTTATCTTTCAACATTGTCATTTAAGCACTTGCTTTTACAAAATTCTCATAGAGGAAAACCTGGAGTGAAAGATTCATTTTGTTTTTTTAATTTTCAGTCTGCCATTGACTGACATTTTTTGTAAAAATAATGAAAAGAAATTACATGAAAAAAAGTACTGGAAAGACATCCAAAATAGAGGCCCCATTTTTTATTATTAGATTTAACAGTCATAAAATTACTTTGCCAAAGTGCTGTGAAGTTTCCAAATGCTCACTTTAACCTTATGTATCATATTGGCGTCAGACAACTCATGGACCGCACCCATCTGCAGACCACACTAAATACGGCCGCCCGGAGTTTTAGGTTGTGGCAGACAGAACACTGTTTTTCATGCTTTGATCTCTCACCCAAAAAACACAATTGCTAGTATCCCCAGGGTGACCATCTCAGCCATCTTTTCCAGCCTGTTCTCATCTAATCAAGAGTCACGAACCACCTCTTCTCAGTGATTGACACAGCAGGTTTGGGCTGCTCCCAATCTTGGATTTGTTGGTGCCTTGACCATGGCTTAGCCTCAGCTGGTATTCAAGGACCAGAACAAATCTTGCAGTGATTAAGCAATGGCATTTGCCACCCACCCGCCATGCTCCTAACTTACAGGCAACCTCCTCTATAGAAAACCGTGTGTAGATTAAGAATTTGCCTTTGCACAGAGCGGCTGATTTTTTTTTCTTTGCTAGAGTCTTGTGCAGACTGTCTGCAACGTGGGTGCTTTCCAAGCTCCTTCTTCAGGAAAGGGAAAGGAATGCAGTTTCAGTTCTATCAGAAGAACTTGCCAATCTCGGATGGCTTGTGAGGTCTGGCAATATGAGATGAGCACAACATTTTCCAAAGTGAATTTCAAGGGATTAGTGCTTTCTTAGCCTGACTTTTTTTCTTCAGTAGAAGGTTTCACAGATTAAGACACTGGTGGGGATACAGCAGTGGCTCAGCCCAGTTAACACAAGCAGATACCACCATGGCAAACTACATACTGATGGACAAGTCAATATAATTGGGGTCAAATTCTATTCTAACTGTGTTACAGGAAACTGTTGTCTCAATAATTGATGAAAGTAATTTATCCGCTTAATAGCTCTGTTGTTGTATGTAAAAACCTAATTTGAAAAAATTAAAATGACAAAAATTATTGAGCAGTACAAAAAACCAATTAAATGATCTAGTTTATTTTCACAATATTAAAGCCGAGGTTTATTAGTTTGATTTGTAGAATTAGACACTGAGGCACAAACAGTTTGAGGAAAAATGGTCTATGGTCTTTACAAAAGGCAGAGCAGAAAGTCCTATTTTGGGCTTTTTAGTTTAAATCTAACATTGCTTTATTTATATAGAATAGTTAACCTTTAAAGTCAGCATCTTTCCTCACTGATATTTTTGGCCCAAAACACAACTGCACTCTACCATAAGCCACCATCTCCCCTAACACCAATGGATCCTGGATTAAAGATTGACATTGAATTATTGTATTTTTTCAAGGTTTATTTATTTAGTTGAAAGGCAGAATTACAGAGAAAGAGAGAGGGAGAGACATAGATAGACTTATTTCTTCTGCTAGTTACTCCAAAAATGGCTGCAATGGCCAGAGCTGGGCCAGGTAGAAGCCAGAAGTCACAAACTCCACCCAGGAGTTATCAAATAGATGTTACACACATGCATCAAACTCATGTAAGAGTGAATAAATTCAAAGGAAAATAAGACTAGAAAAAAATGCCATGAAGCTAATATTCTATATAGAGAGAATAATTCAGTCCAATAATACTGAAAGGAATTTTGCAGAAAAATACTGTTTTAATTTTTTAAGAGATTATTTATTTGAAAGGCAGAATGACAAATAGATAAAGGAAAGACCCAAGAGAGAGAAATCCTCCATCTGCTATTCTCTCCCTAAATGACCACAACAGCCAAAAGGGGGCCAGGATGAGGCCAAGAACCCCTACAGATCCCCTATAATGGGGGGAGGGACCCAAGCACTTGGGTCATTTTCTGCTGCCTTCTCATGTACATTAGCAGGGAGCTGGACTGGAAGCAGAGCAGCTGGGATAAGAACTGGCACTGTGATGCTGGATACCCATGTTGCAAGCAGCAGTTTAACCCACCACACCACAATGCTGGTCTTAGTTCTGTATTAATTCTAACAAGTTCCATGATACAATACCAAAATTATTTCCATAATGTCATTAGAAATACGTACATTTCTGATTTTGTATTTTCCAGTCCATGTTTCTCATCACAAACTTTTTTTCAAAAATTGGATTATTGATGAAGATGTTTGAAAGCAAAGAACCCTTCGCCTTCAGGGCTCATCCTCTGAACCATCATTTGTCATACATGAAGGAACTCGTTTAAGGAACTCATCATCTCATTATGTACATTCTAGAACAACTTTTGTGGGCTTGTTGTTTTATAAAGTACATGCAGTATTATTTAGCAATCTACTAATTAGGTCCAAATACTGCCTTAAC